TGTTGTTGTTGTTGTTGTTGTTGTTGTTGTTGTGCATGTCCGTATATATGTGAATATGCGTGATAAAGCTCCCTATTGTTTCCTCTTTGTTTGTCCGTCTCTCTTTCATGTGTGTGTGTGTGTGTGTGTGTGTGTGTGTGTGTGTGTGTGTGTGTGTGTGTGTGTGTGTGTGTGTGTTCGCGTGCGCGCGTGTGTATGTGCGTGCGTGCGTGCGTGCGTGCGTGTTTGCCGCCTTTAACGCGTCCGGCTATATCAACACGGGCTGACACTCACTACCCTCGTGTGAATGGCACGTCATTAAGATGGCCCCCGATGCCAGGGGTCGCTGTCAATACTGTCTGACCCCTGGTCATCCTCCTGTCTCTCCCTGGGTAAACTTCGGACACAGGCTTCCACAATCACTGTGATGAACCCGCTCCCCTTTTACAACTGACTGTGGCTATGGGTTAGAGAGGTTGCCCTATTATTATCATACAGAGCAGGCGGGATCAGACTATACGCGGATCTGTTAGTCAGTAAACAGAGATGTCTCACGATTACACAGAAAAAGACACGGTAACTCCGTTATAGAAATGGAAAGTATATTTAATTTGTGGAGAAAGAAGAAAACCAAAATGTTTTGGTCGAAATAAGCGGATGGAAACATTGATGAAAATCTTAATTTACTTAAGACTGTTGAAAGCCGAAATAAGCTCGAGATAAAGAAGGGATATAGAAAGGACAAACGCTCATGTCTAACAGCATTTGGTGTGGGTATTCCCGTACCTTTGTGGGTGGTTGGCGTGCGCTACTGATAGATTCTAGTTCTTTTTTCTTTTCTTTTTTTAATAAGAGTTTTACGGCACATGCAGTACAATAAGGTCATAAAAGTATCGAATATTAGAGGTGCTAATAGAGAGTAACAAACACAAAAAAGAAGAGATCAGGACCGCTGATGTTTGACAGGAAAGAAGGAGCAAACCACAACAGAGCACCCGCCAACCGCCCACTCCTGGTTCTTTATTTTATACGTATTGTTTCTTTCTGCTTTTCGTTCTGGTTTTTTTTTTTCCAGCACTGAATGGCCGTTATTATGTGCATATTTTCCCTCTTTTTGCTCACTCCGCCCCTTCAACAAGCTCAAAGTATGTCTATTTCTGTTTTACTGCTTGCCCAGCTTGACATCGGATGCTTATGTCTGAAAGTTCAATGTCCTATTAAAGGTCTGTTGTGTCGTGTTCATGTGAGCACTGACATCAGATCTGCTCTTTGACCCCAACCTGACAAGCTGTTGTTGTTGTTGTTGTTGTTGTTGTTGTTGTTCTTCTTCTTCTTCTTCTTCTTCTTCTTCTTCTTCTTCTTCTTCTTCTTCTTCTTCTTCTTCTTCTTCTTCTTCTTCTCCTTCTCCTTCTCCT